TACCATGAGAAATCCAAGTATCACTGAAAAAAAAACAACTTTTGGTATGAACAGGTTGCAAATTACTTTACCTGAACAGTAGGCCTTGTTTATCGTCTCGATGTCGAGGAATGATAGGGTCTCTCGTTGACCGATTGTGCTTTGATAAAGAGGATCCCTCAAGAAAATTAGCGGCTCAATTTTGAGATATCTTCAGACAGAATCAGTCAAGCGAACCTTACCGTGTTATCAGCGTTTTGCTAGATTGGTCTACACTGAATGCCGTGCTACCGTAATGCATAACTGAACCGAGATCATACGGTAGTCCCAGAGTGTCGATATCCTTGTCACGTTGAAGGAAGTCGCTTACGTAGGAAGGAAGAATAAAGTCGGATTCCACCTGGAAACTGTTTCTAAGCACTACAAAATGAAAAGCTGCTCGTTTAGAATGACAGTTACTCCTGGAGCCAACTTGAACAGTTTAAGTACATACTTTGATGTAGGATTGAGCATCAGGACGACTTTGCTCATGCCACATTCCAATCGCATGGCCAATCTCGTGCTCGATGACACCAGCCTGCAAACAACTTCAATTGGGGTAAAGAGTCAAAATAAACATCAACATCCAAAGTTTTTAGGGGCAACAATGTACGGGCTCGCTCCCAGATCTCACCTTAACACAGTTCTCTCCAATCGACACACCTTGTCTGCCGCCGTTTCTTCCGATCATGGAGTAACATCTGAACAATCTCCTACTATGAAATTTCAAAATCTGTCAAATATATTAAGCACAAAGCCCAATGTTAGCATTTAGGCACAACAGCCACCTTTTTGGGGACTCTTCAAATTTCTTGTGGGCCAATTATACCTACCCTTGTCCTTGGAAAAACTCAATGAAGTCTTCGTTATCTGCCACATCCGGGGAGTTTTCGAACTCTAAGCATGTCACGTTTTCCCAGTATCGGATCGCTTTGATTATATTCGAAACCGCGTAGAAGTCTGAAAATCCTACCATTATGAGAAATATTAGCTACGAATCTAATCAATTCAGATGTTCCAAGTGGACAGTTCAGAAAAAAATTATGCTGAAGGAGCAGGCTGTGCTCTAGCACCCTTTCGATTTTGCTTTGTGCTCTTCCCACTCCGAAAATCTGCTCCTGTTTGTAGAGTGACAGGAACCAATGTTTCCTCGGGTAACGGAACTTGTCCCCGATTGCGGCATTCTCCCTTGCGGCATGCGGCAAATGTCACTGCGACTACCTACCCACCCCGCCTCCCCGCCAATCGATATGACGGAATATTTTTAGTCGAATGCCTTCCTTTTTCAATAGTTTTGATCGTTTTTTCGCTTTCTTTTTCTTGTTTTTATGTTCGTTAGTCTTGATTAATTAGAATTACTCCTCTTTCATTAGCGCAATCAAGATTGCAATGGAATTGAAGGAAGTGGCCAGCCAATTCAAATAATTAAAGTACTCCCTACATCACAAATTGCGCGCTCCAATCTTCCATCGCGATCCTGCGATACGCGGCGGGTGCGGCGTGCGCGCGACGCCGCTTTCGGGGAGATGATCCCGGACCCATGTTTCCTCAGGCCACGTATCTTTCCTGCCTTCGTGACTTATTCGAAAGTACTCATAGGAGAAATCCAGCGCACTAGGAATCGGAACTTGAGAATCTTTTGAAGCGATAAGGATAATGCTTCATGCAGCAGGGTGGCAAGGTCGCGTAGCCAAGCATTTAAACGGTTTTTATTGGACAACAAACAAAACAATCGTTGGCAGGTCAGCCTTAATCCTCGTTGTTGTTTTCATGGATATCTTAGAGAAATTTCTTGTAAAATTAGAAAAATACACTCAGGAGCATGAACCTGCCTACTTTCAAAACAAGACCTACCAATACTTTCATGGAATCGATACTTAATCGGTGCTGTCGTTGGCCACTTTGATTCTGGGCTTGCATCGAATGATCGACGACCACGAACATTCGACTTTGATTTGCTTTCTATCCCTGACACCTCCTTGAGAATGTTGATCGCCTGTTTTTTCGACAGGAAGATGTCTCCTTCAGTTGAAAAATTTAATCGTAATGAAAGAAAAAAGGCAGTAGGCTTCTATTATACTCTTCATACGTAGACTTTTACCTTCGAAGAGATATGGGCTGACATCCTTTGCCACGGTTGGCTGCAGAACACTGATTGCCACAGGTTTCTTGGAATCTTCTTCGGCCTGAAGTGAAACACATAGGGGGCTTAAAAAATGAAGCTGGTCTAACAAGCCATCTAACTGGAACTTGTCAGACACTGTCGCGACAGATCCGAAGTGGAAAAGAAAGTTGGAAACGCCTTAACCCTTACATCATGCCCGAACTCTCGATTCCCGAAGGCTCTTTGATGGGCTAGCTTCTTCAACTTCAACAGCACATCTCCAACACTGTCCAAACTGCTATCTCCGACGTCAAAGTGCTTCTGAAATAGGCACCATGAGAAGCATTCGAATGAGCATTTCAAGTTAGAAGGATTACTCGGATAGGGACAATCCTGTGCCGAAGCCCCCGCGGTCCCATAATTTGGGCGGAACGAGTTTTCGCTCTTCTAGCTGTACCCACATTTGTGGAGATTAGCGTGACCGTCAACTAACTGATCGGATAAGAGTGACAGCAACAAGGGTTTAACATAACGGAAACACAAAAGAGCTAAATTTTCAGCTTGCTCCTTTTAGATTCAAGGTATTTGGTTGTGGTATATGCCATCGCAATTTCGTGAATGGTTCCTGCAGCGAATCTTGATGTTACATTCCGACATGGATCAATCTTATAATTGAGAATTTCAACAAAGGATGGGGTCTATAGCATTAATCAATCCCATTCTTTAAATACACCCTAGCCTACGAATTCTATTCAAAATCGCCATGGTGTTTGAGCTAGGGCGCCTACCATCTAGAACTCAATCTCCACATTAGCATGTGTGATAGTGCGTAACTTTAACTACACCACAACTTGAAATTACTCTGTCACCTTTATTAATCAAATTGAGAAAGTGCAAAAATAACAATTCAGGGCGTAGGTCATGACATTTGTGTTGAAAAAATGTTGACATTCCAATAGGAGAGGACGAATTGGATAAATACGGTAGTCCCTCGAACTGTGATATTTGGTGGTTGAAGAAGAAATTTAGGATCTTTATGTTCAGCACGTTCTGAGATGGATATATGGGCTCACCTATGGCGTTGATCCAAGCATTTACTACTACACTGGTGAGCTCTCGCTATATTCGGAATGAACAGTCGTAGCTAATGGTAAGCAAGTAGAGAAGTAGAGGAGCGAAGAGTAGGGAGGAAACGAACTCCCAGCTCCGTATGAAATCAAGCGTATTCCTTTTCTGAGTAAGTTCCTAATCATGCCAATATGTCATCTAGCGCCCGTATTTCTTTTAAAACGACCACTTTCCATTGAGTTCCATTAAAGGCAAAGTTCACAATAATTTTGAGGTACCCTTCTTAGGATGGAAAGCGGAAGTGTTGATGTAGGGGAGTACATCGGTGGCGAAGAAAGCGAGGAAATCCGCCTAGTTCAAGTTTTTTGAAAGTAGTGGAGGTGGAAGTTGTACGAGATCAGCGCGACAGGAATGGCATGTAAGGGACGGGATTCAACTTTTGGACGAGTTTTAACTTGCTCGTGTAAAGAGCTGACTACATCAACCCATAACTGTCCAGCATTGCCTTTTACTGTCGATGGGTTATGACAAGTTGTTTGAACTTCCTACATTGGTTCCCTTATGAATGCCTCTACAAAGCCGTTGGACTGGTCCACTAGGGGTGTGACATTCACACGGTACAATCTCTGGTTCCTTAATCTGCCCTATCCAGAACGTTTTTCCCTTATAACGACAGATACGGTATGAGGGATAGCCTCATATTCATACTATAGGGAAATCTCTGAAACCATTTTTATCGTGAACTGCGCCTTTAACCTATCACCCTCTATCAGCCCTGCCTTTGAGATGGTTACTGCTTATCTCGTTCAATAATAATCTAGAACCAGCTTAAGCGCAATGTTTTCACCATTTCGGGCGACTATGGCGTCAATCAAGGGATGGAAAGCATGTGTAACTAGAAAAGGTTTCAGACTGAGTTGCGGTTTGCGGAACGTACAACCACATGTCACAGCCTCGACCCCAATTTCCCTCAACCTTTCCTATGGAAGAGAAAGGTGATGGCAGCGATTTTCTTTTATTTTATTATGATGTTCGCGGTGAATCCCGTGAGCCCGATGAATTAATCGCTCCCGGAACCATTAAGTTGCTAAAAATCACAGGCGGAAGTGCAGAAATACTGGTTTTTGTACCGACCGTCACCACTACCCTCCCGGAAGCTAAGCGTATAAGCCGGATTTGCACACAGATACCCATTTGGTTTCTATTCGGTGTCATAAAATGTTTGTTGGTCGAATCTAAAAAGTCGACCACTTCACTTTTGTATGTATGTGAAATAACAGGAAGGCAAAGCCTAGGATAATCATGACGAAGGGTAATCTGGGCAAGCTTCTCAGAGTTTGCTCCACCAGCATCTCAGAGTTCTGCTGTTGTAGAGTCATTATCGTTCTATCATATAGTTATCATAATTATTGATTGACTCGAACCTCCTAAAAGTGAATTTCCTTGAAAGAAGCGGTGCTCAGGGTCGGTCGAGAAGAATTTTAGAAAAATATACTATAAACCAACTGGCTTTCTCGGAACATCATAGCTGTTAGCAAGGAAGTTACCTCTAGTTCTCGCCTTCCGACATCACTGGCATGAGCGGTAGAGATGAAAACAAAGAGTAATACTAAGAGTAGCATCAAAATAGAAGTGGAGATCGGCTGGCAGATGGTGGAGTGATTAAGCTGGACTGATAGCCACGAATCAATGACATCGTTTTCAAAGATAAAACCTGTTCGAATTGGCCGCTTAGATGAAGGACGCCTGGCCACGATGCGAAGAAACAAGCAGTGGCAAAGCGGTTGTCCACTTGATGGTTAACACCACACTCCCCTCTGCTGGTTGAAGGTTTCCATACGATACCATAGGGTCGGACCGATCTGCTCTAAAGACGGAACATAGGCCAACCCCAACTCCTCATCAATGTTGGATCGCAAAACTTTTCCTCTCCTACCAAAGGCAATGTTAGACGAATATAGCAATTATTGAACAGTTTGAAATTCCATACAGATTTCCTTCTCCAGATACCTGTTCTCCTTCTAGAAAAGAATCAAGAGACGGTCTTTGAAAATCAGTTTGTGACTGTCAGTAAATTTTCTTAATGTACCGCTTCATTTTCTTTAATTTCGCATTAATTGAAGAGCCGTGTAGCTTCCATTTTAACTAGAATGAGGTACATGGTTCATATTCAGGAAACTAGAAGTACCCAAAGGCTGGTCACTCTGCACGAAAGGATTCGTAAAAAATGGAACCCTGAAGCAGAGTTGCTGTACAGAGTTCCTAAAACGAACGAGACCGCCTATCTAACGCTAGGTATGTCAAACCTCAATATTTGCGGAGAGAACAAGCAAAACGTAACTTCCATCCGAACTGGTATTTGTATTGCCGTCTTCGGAGACGATCGTCTCATAATATCTCGGCATCTCACCGTTTTAGTCGTTTCACCAACTCACTCGTGTTCCTAATGGTGCAGGAATAAGCTTCGCCACGGCTAATGGGTCCCCATTTCACCTCTCACAAGGGGTAGGACTTAGGTCTAGATCGTCAGAGTCACTATTATTCTTACCAAGGGAACTTCCGCTTTTACTATAACATTGCCACTTTACTCCATTATGATCAGAGTTGAGCAATGAAGTCTCCAAACATCTGAGAAGTAAGTTACTTCAGATATGTTACCAATAGAGTTGTTTGCGAATTGACCTTAAGAGGTCTTGTTATCTCGGACCTCTTAATGACATACGGCACCATCTCATCTCACACGCCGTCAGGCTTCATGATTTGTAGGGGCTCTAATCGGCTTATCCTATGACCGAAAGAAGCTGCTGAGCTTCACGTGTAGTAATTGCGTTGAAGGGGGCTCTGAAAAAAGTTATTCGCTTGGCTTATCTGTTCAAAAGGGAGTGTCAGTGCAGTTCCAAAGAACCTCAGGAATTGGATAGACAGTTGTGTAATTTGCTTTTCAAGTCAGCTAACTAGTCTTCGGCCTCCTTTTTTGTCGAAGCCAGTTGTTCATGGAATATACCTTCCCTGGAATTTAATCTCGAGACTTAAAAACGGCCTTTCTCAAAGAAATCTCGCTCTAGTAGATTCGGTCTGCATGAGAACTATATATTGCTTACCAGGATTAGCTTTGTCCTACTTGTTCTGAGCGCAAGATTTCAAGTCCCTTCTCCCGATAGTGAATGACTTTCATTCAGGTTGCACTCATGCTATGAACTTCGTTTATACCACAAAAGTCCCAAAAGTTCTGCACCTTGCCTTCTGGTTGAGGTGTAGAAGTTTGTCAATAGTTGGCTTCACCCCATCTTCCATCGACGATGCATGCAATCTCAAATGTGTGTCCTGCCAAAGCCGGCTTCGACATTTGCCGTTAACGTGTGACGTGATATATTTTATTGAAATTAGATGGAAAACATCACAAACCACATAGAATACATATTTTTACAAAATTCATCAACACTTGCGCCAAATGGTAAACTCCTTCACAATCTGAAATTCACATAAACTCAATGATGTACCTTTCTGTTTGGATACATGAGCGGCGCCAGTTCATGAGTACCTGATCCAGTATCAGTGTACTGCCTAGTTTTTGGTAATTTCAAAGGAATCACCGTACTGATTGATTTCTCTCTTTTCCTTGGAAATCGGAATGAAAATCTAGGAAATCGATGGGGTACGAATTGGTGATTATAGGCAATAGTTTAAAAATGCGTCTTGAATCTCCCAAGCAGGATCTGATTTACAAAACTCCCACGACTAAGACAGGAGGATCCCCAATTACAGGAAATTATTGTGCATCGTGAATCTCCAATGAGAATTCAAACCCATTTTTACTCGCTCAAAAGAAGGTCTAACTAAAGCTACGATCAAAATTCTGGCGTTTACATGAGTTACAGAATGGCTATGTCTGTGAACTGCTTCACTTCCCAAAGTTTCTACTGAAATGTACATAGATGAAGCTAATAAATAGGAAACTGGATTTGTCACCGCAAACTTAAGGCCAACTTTAAGTGTTCACAAGTTGCATGGCAGAATCAAATAGCAGTTTTTTCCA